GAAGCCACTCGACCTTTTTTAACGACATCGCTTCGTTCTATGGGCTTTTAAAAAATTCCCAGAAGATGCGATGTTTTCGAGCTAAATTTGGTTCAGCGATGAGTTTCTCACTCAAAATTGCCGCATTTGGGACAAAGAGCAATCTGTAGAGATTTAAGAGCTACCATTTCATCTTAAAAAAACAACGGTTCGGTGTGGTTTGTGGACCGGTGGAATCATCGGTCTATATTTCTTCAAAAATGATGCCGGTGAGAACGTAACCGTCAATGGCGACCGTTATCGCGCCATGATAACCGACTCGTTGATGCCTAAAATTGAGGCTCGTGATTTCGGCGACATTTGGTTTCAACCAGACGGCGCCACTTCCCACACATCGCATCAATCAATGGATTTATTGAGAGAACACTTCGGCGGGTAGATAATTTCACGTTTTGGGTCGGTCGATTGACCACCAAATTCATGTGATATCACAACGTTAACCTTGTTCCTGTGGGGATATGTAAAGTCTAAAGCCTATGCGGACAATCCCGCTTCGATCAAAACATTACGCGTCTCATTCGACCAGTCAAAATGCTCGAACGAGTCATCGAAAATTGGACTCAACGGATGGAGCATCTCAAGAGATAACCTTCACAAAATAAATGCCAAAGAATGTTTCTTCGAACGATAATAAATATTTCCCATTAAATTTTGATATGGATCACCCTAAATATTGTATATATTTATATATGTATGTATGTGTACCGGTAACAGGGATATGAGAGCTTTATACAGTTCTCATATTACAAATCACATAATTATATGCTTTGCAAATAAGCATATTCAATATTAGGCTTGTGGGGACAACTGTGTTCGCAAAAAATCTATAGCAAAAACAAGAAAAACGTTAACTTTCACTGAAGTAGTGGGTTTCAACTAAAAGTGAGCGGGACCACGCCAATTGACCAGTTTTTACCCTATCGAATAAAATATGCAATGACAATCTCATGACACTAGACCTCAGAAAGGCCGAAAAACTTCGGATTGCAGGTTGTCGTCATTCGACCCATGGTAGAATAAATTTGGGGGCTGTGTGATAATATTAACCCACGACTTCGAGATCCTTTTGTACTAAAGAAGGACGTAGGATATCTACTAAACTATTTGCTCTTAGCAAAGTTCATTTTGTCGCAATCGTAGGAGTTCTTGCTGAACATTTTACAATAGGCATTCAAGCAGTAAGACTAAAAATCTTGTCGGACGCAAGTTGTCAAAGTGGTATGGAGGAAGGTGAGGTGAAAACATTCAAGCATTTTCCCCTCCATTGTCCAGCCTTTGCAAAAATTAGGTTGAAACATCTTGGTAATCTTACCTTCGGCGAACCATGAGACATAGCCGAAACTGACATTAGCCGCTTTAGCAAATTTGTGATATGCTCAAAGCGCTTTGTCTGTGATTTGTGCGGATCTTACGGTCAATTATATAGGAGTTTAAGGTACCACAACGGACCGGCATTCTAAGCTGTCCAAGTGAGATCCCAGTTAGGATCGAACTCTTAAACTAACCTAACCTAACCTAGTATTCTTGTGCAACTCTGATTCAAAAATTTTTGTAATCGATATTTTCCTTAGCCTCCGTAGGATGAGTATTAGGATCTTGCTCCTTTGGCTTGACTTCAAACTGTATATTATCGGTTATATTATATATTGACCAAACTCTGGAAATTTTTGAACTTTTTCTGATTCTAATTCCTTAGTTAAGCGGCTGTTGGACCTTGTGGTACGTTGAGAAAACGTTAATTTTAAATGGTTAATTCAAGAAGAACTAGTTAGCCCTGACTTTGTCTCAGCTTTGCAGAAATTCTTGATTGTAAGAATTGTTTTTAGTAATTTTTTATTGTGTACGCTTTTCAATGTTAACTTTTGTTGTAGCTCAAGTTAGTTACTTATTGCGCATGGTAATTAAATTCAAGTAATTAAAAATAAGGAATGACAAGCATAATAATAATGGAAGTAGAAGAAGCAGAAGACGACACCAAGTCACACCATAAGATGTCAATAGTCATATAATGTTGCCAATTTTTTTTTTATTTCTTGCAGAATTAAATAAAATAACAAAAAAACCGAAACATAATTTTGAAAAAATCCAAACAAAAGTACAAAGGAGGAACAACCGAAGCTTATCGGAAAGCAACATTCTAAGCACACACAACGCAGGTGTTTTGCACAGTGTTCCTTAAGAATTTTGTATGTTCGTATATACTCGCAAAGTAAAATTTCATTTTCTTTTATTTATGTTTTTTGTTGTATTCAAAGATATTTTTTGTTGTACTCGTACTGATACAATACAATCTAATACTCTTTTTTTGCGCTTATAAAATTATCCGTTCTCAGCCACAGCCGGCATATTTTTTCATTGCTTCGCGCTTGCGATTAAAATCTGTCTGTTACGCATTTGCGCATGCGCTCACAACTGCCTTTACTTTTCCAACGCTTGTTGTTCTTGTGCTGATGAGACAAGTGCGTAGTGGTGATGCGGCTGATCTGTTGTCGGTTATGCTGTGATTGCTTTCCGTGTTGTTGTAATTTTCAGTTGATTACTTTGTTACCGAGCAAAAGAAGGAAGTAAGTAACTACAACAAGAAATTTTAATGTTAAGTTTTTTTTGTGTGAGGTTTTTGTATGTAAGTCTGAACAAGATGCCATTGATCTTTTATAATTTAAGGAAATTATATCTTGAATTTAAAAGGCATACAATTTGTCAGACAACCAATTAGATGGGTGAGTCAGTATTCATTGTAGATGAAATTATTGAAAAAGAAATCAATGATGTAAGCTAAGGTTGTGGTATTAGAAGGAATTAGTTTTATGACCACTGGATTTGGTGGGATTAGATATAGTTGGACTAATCATTCAATCCGCATCGAAATCAAATTCGATACGGAAAGAATTTACGATCGAAAATGTTCAAGTTTTAGTGTCGTGGTAGCTGAAACGTTTTGAACTGTGGAGGAGGAAACTTAAAGCGCTTTTTTCTCGAAACTACTTTTTTTGGATGCGGTCGCCGAGATATCTCAAGTTCCAATCAGCCGATTTACTAGAAATATAGCATGAATATTCTAAAATATTTAAGTTTGCAATAATTTTAAAAAAAGATGACCACAAGGGTAGAAATCTTGTTGGCGAGGACACGGCTTCCTCTACTTCAAGAACGCATAACTCAATATAAAATTTTAGAATTAATTTTTGTACTCTGCAAATATAAATAAACAAATGATAAAAATATGTAGTACAGTAAAAATATCAAATTATTTTTTTTTAACAATTGCTAAAAAACACACGAAATTCGGGCCTCTAGACAAAAATACCCCCTGAAGACAATAACATATAGATTTTATAAAACGGCTCTGGGGACTTTCTCCCCAACTATGATAGTATACAAAACGCTATTTTGCAGTTGTCACTCTAGTTTCTCAAGGTAAGTCGGTGTCCTCATCTGCAATAAGTGGAGAGATTTGCCTACTAAAGCATAATCATCTGAAGATAACTGGAGGAAAGTGTCAATTGATATTCTGTGAATGGCGTTTAATATTTTCTTAAATAACTTCAATGATGGTTTCTTTTTAATTTATTTTAGCACTTCCTTCCATTCGTCAATCTGAAACTCCGTTTTCACGAACAACTTAATCGGAACGGAAACGAGAATGATAAAGGCAAGATTGCGAAGAGCAACGTTTTAAACGACACAAATGGGTGATTCACATAGAACTTCTCAGACTTTTGCTTCGATAGAAAAGTTCGATATACGTTCACATCGAACGCAATAAAGCGAAGCAAAATGTTGGGCACCACTCATCTTATTACGCTTAGCCAAGCAACAATTGCCATTCTTATTAACTAGTAGAACGGAAAGCAAAGCCTTCATTCTGACATACCATTTCCTTTCATAACTTAGTTGTTAAAGTATAAATTGTCAAGAAATGTAAGAAAAGTTGTATGTACATAAATTGGTCAGAGATGTCAAACTTATAATAATTGTAAAAAAAATTGTTCCTTCTTTCGTTCATAACATAAACCAACGTCGTAAACGAAACGAAGTGCCAAACGCTGAATACAAAAACTACTGCACTTATCCTTCACTCCACAACGCGATTGCACGACAGCGAAATTTTCTTGTCTGCAAATGCAAGAATCAAAGAATACAAGATTACAAGACCATCTTGTGACCCAATTCTTTTGAATTGAAAAGAAGAAGCATAGAACAACATGTAAATTGTAAACAAAAACGTAAACGCTTGTGTTTATTCGTTAAATATACTTAATTTATTAGTTCATAAGAAAAAAAAACTTAGTAAAATAAACAGAATAATATAACAGGAAAATGTTTTAGTAATATTAGTTTAAGTATATACTTTTATCTGTTGGCAACATAATTGCCAATTAAGTGAGTCATTGCAATTGCGATACATCCGGCAGTAATTTCTTATATTGTATACTGGCATATACATTTATTAATAATAGTTCTGATTTATTTAAATGAAATTATGGTGAAAAGATTCTGAAATTATAATTATTATGATTATGAAATTCATTTATCCTATAAAAAAATTTACAATTTTTTAGCAACTTTTATATCCGAAGGAAAGCTAAAAAAAACGTGTTTATTGGTTTATTTGCATAACAGTTATTGCAACTCGCCCTGCGCAGTTCATTTTTCAAAATCAATGAATTTTATATTTATATATTTAAATGAATACAACCTCGCAATCACATTTCCATTTAGCCATGCACTTAATTGTCAATCAAGTTGTCAATATTTAAATATATTTATTTGAAAATGACCCAAATATTTTCGCACAACATTATTCTATTAATTTTACTAAAAGTGTTCGCAAAAAGTAGTAAATTAAGTTTATTTCACGAATTAGCAAAATATTTAATTGTTTTTTGCTATTTACATGCTATCATGATGAAGTTGTCGTCATCGTAAAAGGGTTACTATGGTTGCCGTACTAAAACCTTTCACTGCAATGAAATTTAAATATTTTGTTTAAAGTAAAATTTTTTGTATGTTTCATATAATCAATTGTTATTACAAATGATATATTCTGCTTCTGTTGTTTATATATTATGCTTTACGTTCTTATGGGCACATTTATTTAAACAGCAGGCTTGCAATTGTCGCTGTTGGTAAATTAAAACTCTATCTAAATTTTTTTATTGCAATGATAGGTTTTAGTAGGGCAACAACGAAATTGTTTACATCAGCTGTTTGATATGTCGCTGCGGTCTTGAAAATGTTCAAGATGCTGGCTTCAAGACGCCATTTGCAGACAAGAAAATTTCGCTGTCGTGCATGTGTTTAATACAACAACGGACAGCTGTATTCTTAAAATAAAACTGCATTAGTTTGCTTGCGCTGTGCATTATTTTAATTTGGTAAGATTTTCATGTTTAATTGTTAAATTAGATTTCGTTAACAATAAAAATGTTATATTTCAGGCTTGACTATGGATTTGGATGATATGTTAATTGAAGAAGTGCGTAATCGGCCGTTTCTATACGATCTAGCGCAGAAGGATTACAAAAATTTAAAGAAAAAGGATTATGCATGGAAGGAGATTGCAGCACGCACGAAGTTGGGCGGTAAGGTAAACTATAGATTAACTAAATCAAATTCTGATATTCAATTCATTAATAGAATTGAAATGCAAAAAAAGATGGAAGAGCCTCCGTGACACCTATAAACGGTGCAAAAGAATGAAGCAAGTCTCTACCGGCAATAGCGCTGAAACTGCAAAGAAAACATGGAAATATTTAGAAGCGATGTCCTTTTTGGATAATACTAAATATGCCAGACGGTAAGTAAATATACTATGTTATGATTATTTCATAATCTATTTTACAGTACTATTCGAAGTTCAAGCGAAGAAGTGGACTGTATAGACGAAAATGATATACTGGAAATAAAACAAGAGGATTCAGCAAATATATCGTTGTCGGCAAGCGAAAGTTCTCAGTGTAGATCTTCTCATGCATGGGGGCAAGAGGTTCAAAAAAAGGTAGTGGTTTGTTTTCTTTTGACAATTTTCATTATTAATTTACAATCTTTGTGCGCAGAAACAGTACAGTGACAAGTTTCAACAGTTTTTGAATTTGGCAGGCGCAAGCATTTCCGAAACTTGTGCGGCATTCGTGGAGCAAACACAAAAACAGAACACTACCGCACTTCACTTTTCCAGTTTAGCGGCGAAGATAACAGAGGCCGGTCTTCCTCCAAATGTCGTCAATCAAATAGAGGCCAAAGTATCGGCTTTAGTGTTTGGGGAAATTGACAAATTTTATTCAGGTCTTTTAAAATAGATGTACATAAATAATGCGATTGTATTAATGTGCGTAAGTAAATTAATTTTTAAGAGTAATAAGCATAGTTTTAGTTATATAAAATTAAATTCCTTATATTTAAGTAGTTAATCGTCAATGTGAACCTCAAGTACTTTTTAACTTTTTGAAATAAAGAAATGTTTTGTAATATAAAAGAAGCTTTGTGTTTTATTGACAAATATAGTATTATATGAATATAATTATTATTATGAAGTATTACTTGAAATAAATTCCTTTAGTTTTTCACGTAATTGGAATGCGCTTGTAGATGAGCGATTAGCAGTTTTTGGTTGAAACGATTCAAGAGACTTTACTTCTCTCCAACGGCCGTGTATTTCTTGGTTGTCTACTGAGTGATCGGCAACTTCAAGGGTGAAGTAGTTCCTGTCATTTTGTAACATTAAAAAGTTATGAAGTACTACCGTAGCTAAAACTATTTTTTCTACATTCTTTGGGCAAGCATGTATTGTTGTATGCAGTACTCTCCATCGATTGGCCAAAATTCCGAATGCGTTTTCTATATGCAGTCGGGCTTTAGACAACGCTAAGTTAAATTTGTCTTTATCTGTTGTTAAATGGCGGCCAGGAAACGGTCGCATTAAATTTGTTTTTAGTGGAAACGCACTGCTGGCGACGTAATAATAAGGAAAGCTAGTCGATGTACCCGGTAAGTTTGTGTTACAGGGAACTTCTAGAGTGCCATTCAGTAATTTCCTTCCAAAGGCACTGCGGCCAAGTATTCCACCATCACTTTGGCATCTTAGAGCACCGACGTCTACATATGTGAACACGTAATTAGCATCACACGCTGCCATTAATATCATGCTAAATGTTTTCTTGTAATTGTAGTACATAGATCCGTTGTCCTTTGGGTTTGTTATATGAATTTGCTTCCCATCTATAGCTCCCAAGCAGTTCGGCATGCCAGTTTTAACATAAAACTTGTTTGCAATGCCTCTAAGTTCGCGTGAGTTTGGTAGTGACAAATATACAGCATGTAATTCATCCCAAATAGCGTCACATGTTTCATATATTACTTTCCGAACTGTTGAAATTCCTAGTTTGAAAGCCATAGAAATCACATGGAAATTACATCCTTGTTCTAAGAACCTGAAATTGTTAAGCGCTGAAGTTTACCAGTGTAATAATTATTTCATATTCACTTACATTAATGTTACCGCCAAACGCGTCTCGGGCTCAACTGCCTTTCTATTAGAAAATCGTTCCATTCGATGTTTTAATAATAACAACAACAAATTAAAGCTAGAAATGTTCATCCAAGTTGTTTTAAAAAAATGCTTATCATTCTTTTCTTTAAGCTGCTTAATGCAAGTTTTAAAAAATCCTTGTTTTTGACTCCTTCGATTGCTTGGATGGATGCCATGGATCTCCTTGTACAGTTCATTAGCTATATTTGTAATACGCGCAATTTTAGCAATCGTCGTCGCAAAATTAATTACCTTTTCCTGATGGCTCATGTTTAATTTATTTTTTTAGATTAAAAATAACCAATTTCTACAAATAACAAAAGCAGAAACGTCAAACCACATATAAAATTAGCTGTGTGACATATCGCTGCCGTCTGCAAAATGTTTGTGAAGTTGGCTTCAAGACGCCATTTGCAGACAAGAAAACTTCGCTGTCGTGCAGTCGTCTGTTTAAAGAGCGTTTTATCAATGTCTGGTTAGCAACCATCTGTGAGTAAAATTTTGGTTAACTCAACCAAGACTCCTTTCATTTTGCTTACGTGATTCAATTAATTATTTTTATATAAGGAGGTATTACCATAAATGTTCCTAATACCAAAAACTCTAAAAATATATTTTATTTAATATGATAAATTAACAGAAGCTAGCTAATAAATATTATAAACAAAATAAGATAGCATAGACAATATATGCATGTATGGAAAGGTAAGAAAGTAGTTAGGGCATGAGTATTTTATATATGTAATTATTAGAAAAACAAATTACATATATGTACATATGTATATTAATCAAAAACAAGAAAAAACGTTTATTCCGTTGCACCGAAGCTATAATACCCTTCAGAAATACAGAGGCTTTCTACGAAGATTGTTTAGATTTGCCTTAAAAATAACTCATGCCAAATTTCGTGAAGATACCTCGTCAAATAAAAAAGTTTCCCATACAAGTACTTGATTCCGATTGTTCAGTTTGTATGGCAAGCATATAGCTGCCGTGGTCCGGCAAATGAGCAGCTTCTTAGTGAAAAAAAGACAGGTGCAAAATTTCAGATCGATAGCATAAAAACTGAGGGACTAGTTTATATATATACAGACAGACAGACGGGCATACCATACATATTTTATAGGGTCTCCGACGTTTCCTTGTGGGTGTTGCAAAATTCGTGGTAAACCTAATAAATCCTGTTCAGGGTATAATGAACTTTAAATTTTATTGATTACTCTCAGTGTATGAAAAAAATTAATAACGATCAGTTGCTATATATATTATAATTAAAACAAATTTACTATTTATTTAGATAATCTAATTTTTGGTTCGTAATAAATTGTTGGCGATCATTTTGTTTAATTCACTTTTTTAAAATAATTTTGTTTTATTTCTATAAACCTAAAAATATGTATGTATGTATGTATGTATTCTTACTTTTTTATTAAGAGATTGTGTAAAATATTTATTTTTTTATTTTAACAATTATTACTAAATATTATACATAATAACAGATGTGTACAGCTATTTGACATGTATTAAATAACTGAGATGCAAATATTGTTATTGTTTTAACTAAATAACGGCTTGCAATGTCAGGAAATATTATTTGCAATCCTTGCTGTACAACTACAAAAGTAGTTAAGATTTAACTGAACTATAAATTTCTTGTTTCGTTTTTACAAAATGCCAAGTGAAATCATAACCTTGCAGTTGGGACAATGCGGAAACCAAAGTAGATTTAATAATAATTTAGAATTAAACGAATTTAATTTAAACAAATTAATATACTATTAAAATTATAGTCGGCTTTGAATTCTGGAAGCGCTTATGCCTAGAGCACGGTATTTCACCAAACGGTGTACTAGAGGATTACGCCACCGATGGCTTAGATCGCAAGGATGTCTTCTTTTATCAGGTGGCTTATGAAAAACAAATAATATATGCATATATTGATATTATTTAGTATCTTCCCTTAGGCTGATGATAACCATTATATACCGCGCGCGGTATTACTTGATCTGGAGCCACGAGTTATCAATACAATAATGACATCAACGCACGCCAAGGTGAGGAAATCTAGTTGCGACTTTTCTGTAATAGTTCTTATTTTTCGTTACATTTCACGTAGCTATATAATCCGGAGAATATATTTTTATCAAAGCATGGTGGCGGCGCAGGAAACAATTGGGCTTCGGGTTTTAGTCAAGGCGAGAAGTTACACGAAGAAGTTTTTGATATCATTGACCGCGAGGCAGATGGTAGTGATTCACTGGAAGGGTTTGTGCTCTGCCATTCAATAGCCGGCGGCACAGGTTCGGGTATGGGTTCATATATCATGGAACGATTGGCAGATCGTTTTCCCAAAAAATTACTACAAACATATAGTGTATTTCCAAACCAAGATGAAATAAGTGATGTTGTTGTACAACCATATAATTCGTTGCTTACTCTTAAGCGTCTGACTGTGTGTGCGGATTGTGTGGTCGTTTTGGATAACACAGCGTTGAATCGGATAGCTGCAGATCGCCTGCATATTGAGAATCCAACCTTCGCCCAAATTAATAATCTAGTATCGACCATAATGTCAGTCAGTACAACTACTTTGCGTTATCCTTCATATATGAATAATAATCTGATTGGATTGACAGCACCATTAATACCGACACCACAATTACATTTTCTAATGACAGGATATACACCTCTGACCACTGAAAACGATGTAAGCATTAAATATATTTAATTATACATGTTGACTGTTAGCTTCTCTAAACTAATTTCAGCCAAATTTGAGTGTACGTAAAACGACGGTGCTGGATGTTATGCGCCGTCTGTTGCAGCCCAAAAATATGATGGTATCTTCTGGACCGGATAAGACAAACCATCACTGCTACATTTCTATATTAAATATTATACAGGTAGTAATATTTTTTTAAGTGGTATAACCAAGTATATTTTATTATATTTTTGCATCATACTTACAAGGGCGAAGTTGATCCAACACAAGTACACAAATCGCTGCAGCGTATACGCGAACGAAAACTAGCCCAATTCATACCTTGGGGTCCTGCTAGCATACAGGTTGCCTTGTCGCGTAGCTCACCATATGTACAGAGCAATCACAAAGTTTCCGGTTTAATGATGGCTAATCATACTGGCATTACATCGCTATTCAACCGCGCATTGGCGCAATATGATAAATTGCGTAAACGTGGAGCATTCTTAGATCAGTTTCGTCGGGAAGATATGTTTAAGGATGATCTATCCGAACTGGATCACTCCAAACTAGTATTAGACTGTCTTTCGCAGGAGTATGAAGCAGCGACACGTCCAAATTATTTGCAATGGAGTCCAAAGGATATTCAACAAGGCTTCTAAATTTGAGCGCATTTAATATTTTTTTATCGCAAAAATTTAATGTTTTGTGGTTAAGTATAAAGCTGAATAGAATAGAAAGAATTTCATTTCTTAATAAATAAAGTATTTGAAACGTGTTTTGCCATTAAATACTGTTAAGCAACATTTTCAGATATATATACTAAATTGCAATTTGATTTATAACATATGAAACATAGCTTTGAATGCAACCGTACCTAAATGTATTTTGTGGAATGTATTCTGTGATCAATTTTGACGTTTCCAATGTGGGTGTTGTTTTTCGTTGCATTGTTGTTCTCAACACAAATTTCTGATAAAGATTGTGAATCAGCGTCGGCATTATTAATTTATAACTAAATAAATTCAATTTAAAACAATTTATTGCTACCGAAATATACAAAACCAAATTAAACATAATGGCCGCCACACTAAAGCCTTATTTAACCGCTGTGCGTCATTCGCTGACCGCTGCTATGTGCTTACAAGATTTCCCTTCACAAGTCGTGGAGCGACACAATAAGCCCGAAGTTGAAGTATGTTCCAGCAAGGAATTAGTATTAACACCAGTAGTGATTTCACGTAACGAACGTGAACGTGTGCTAATTGAGCCCTCTATCAATTCGGTGCGTGTTAGCATTGCCGTGAAGCAAGCAGATGAAATCGAGAAAATCCTGTGCCATAAATTTACACGCTTTATGATGCGTCGTGCAGAGTCGTTCATAATTTTGCGTCGCAAACCAATCGATGGCTACGACATAAGTTTTCTCATTACCAATTTTCACACTGAGCAAATGTATAAGCACAAATTGGTGGATTTCGTTATCAGCTTTATGGAAGAAATTGACAAGGAAATCAGCGAAATGAAATTAGCTGTAAACGCGCGTGCACGTACCTGTGCAGAGGAGTTTTTAAAGCGTTTCTAAGGAGAGAAAATATGTCAGACGTTTTTGCTTGTGTTTAATATAAAGAACAAATTTGAAAATAATAGAAAATCACTTTGTATTCCAAATAACAGTATGTATTGTATGGAGACAAATGAGGTGCACGCTAAGTAGGCCAGCAAATAAAGTATTCAGCATTTTTATTACCTAAATTGCATTTCTAATCTTTATAGTATATTATTTTCATATAAATATTTACATTCTGATTGATATTCAATTCATTAAATTTAAATATAAATTAAATACTTAATAACTATAACCTTTATAGCAAAACTAATATTTATAAAATAGAACTTTACATATGTATCTATATATACATACATAGCTACATACGAATAATGCAATAATGTTTAAACTAAATCCGACGCATCATCACTAACATGATTCTGACCAATCCACCATAGCATTAGCGCATTTTCATAATCTATAGTTATATTTTCTTCATTTAAATCTGTATTCATAAGTTGTGCTGCAATTTCATCTTCAGTGATATCCACAAAGTGATGCTGTCCTGAAGTAGTCGCCAATATGGGTAAGGATGGATGAAAATTAGCACCATTACAGCAATCTCCATGTAACGGTAGCTATAATTGCACAAATAATTATAAAGTAAGAAATTATAATAAACATAAAATCTTACTTTTTCTTCAACATTGTTCTCCAAATCCCAAATGCGTAAAAATCCAGATGTGTCGCCGCTCACTAGCCAACGCTCTTCGTAAGGACACACGTCGAAATAGATGCGTTGATTTGTTGCAACATTCCGTGTAAACTCTCTTACTGGACTGGAATAGTTGCGCATATCCCATTCTAATATTTTATTATCCTTACGTGCGCCACTAAACAGTGACCAACTATCACTGTTTGCCAACACAGCATAACGTAACCAAGTTATGCCACCAGTATGTCCGCCAAGCGTAAATAGTGGACCCAATTTGGGTGCACGCAAATCAAAGTGGTTTATATATCCATTCCAAGAACCAGTCGTAACTGTCTTGTCATTGTCTGTAGTAAGAGCAAAACATGAGATGGCTTGTTTTACAGAAATCGAGCTTAGATCACGACCCGGTCTGGAAAATAAAGATATTTTTAAAAGCGTACACAGCCACACACAGTTTCTCACTTACACATTTGTATCAAATATTTTTAAGGATTTCTTGTAGCCACCGTACACTTTCTCGCCGTCATTAGAAAATGTTACAGCAATTGCCGATTCCACCTCATCTACACTATCGTACCCGCGATAAGTGCAACGTAGCTCCGCATTGAATGCATCCCACATATGTATAGGCTCATGTTGTCTTGACGCCAACCAACTGACAAAACAAAGTTCATTTAATAAAATTAAATAGAAATAAATTTAGGAAATATTTTACCAACAAGTTTCAGGTGCGTTACTATTCATAAATGGATACCAGGCACAATCATAAACCGTACCACCTTCCTTTACATGTACAGCAGTTTCTAGTTTACTTAACTCGCGCGTCGCTAACACGGTTTGTGTTGAAGATACTGTATACAGATCCCTCGGCAGTTCAATAACATGCATGCCTGCAAGTAATAAAATTATTATTTTCAAAATATTTTGCTATATGCATACAACTAATTTTATTGTTTACCATCTAAATGTACCGGTGTTAGTATACATGTACCATCTGGCGACCACAAACAACCTTTAGTGTAGTGTTGTTGTTCTGCTGACGAGCTCCACAAACGGCGGCCTAACTCCAACAATGCGTTCTGAAAGAGTTCATTAACCTCAGGCGCATTTTTATTTTCAGCCAATTCAGTCTTGTTATTTTCAGCTCTATCCTTTAATGTATCACTTTCTATAATATTCTCTTCGATTAAAACGGTATCAACGCAACTTTCATCTAATGATATATCGGTGAACTTGTCAGATAAGTCCCGTGTATTTTCTTGGAAAATTATTGTACTTTTAACTGCCGGCAACACCTCCTCCGTTGTCATGGTCATGTCTATATCGCTGCAGCTTATGTTTTCATTCAGGCTAAAAGAAGTTGTGGTATCAAGTACCACTGGCGCTAAACAATGTGCATATTAGATTTTGCCGAGTTTTTTTCATTTCGATTTATATATTTATTTGTGTAGCACTTACTTATATCAGCCTTGTATACAGCTCTCACTTCCATGTTTTTGCAGAAATTATTCAAATTACCTTTTATGTTTAGATTAATTAGTTCTATTTTATAAAAACAAATGTGGACTAATAAGTGAATATAAATTTACCGGCAAAATTAACGTAATTTAATACGATTTAGAAACAGCTGACGAATTGCTAGGGTTCGCAGAGTTGTATTGGAAATTTTCTTACATTGCCAACTATCTAAAATGTATAAAAGGAAGACCAATTAAAACAGCAAATCATAGAGAATGCATAAATTATATCCTACAAAACGGGGGTAACTAATTAACTTGTACACTTGTAAATTGTCTCCATTGTAACTAACACATACTTATCTAACTTTTTGTATTTAACCCGGACGTTACACGATCAAGAAATTGCTTTCAAGTTGCAATACACTCACACTTTTCTACTACCGCACTCTCACTCATTCAAGTCGAGTGGCAAGTTGCCGATCAAATTTGAACAGTTGATCACATATTTTTGCAGACAAATGACATGCAATTGTCGAGAATATGTCAACATTCGTCAAACGAAAACGAAAGAGAACTACTGATTTCTACTTTTGACAAATTTCGTTTGATACGAGCGGTAAGTACGGAAGGGCGGAACGTCGATTACTAACTGAAACATTAGAAAGGCATCCACATATTGACAGTGACGCTGTCAGAACTTGCTGCCATCAATTTGACGTTTGAAGAAAAGTTTGTAGAACGTCTAGGCATCGTAAATTATACCATGTTCTAGGTAAATTGTGTTTGCAGTTTATTTATCAATTCATATTAAGTTTTCTTTAACCAAACTTTATTAAAACAGCAAAAAAGTAAACGGAGACAACAAATAGTATAAATGTACTATTTTATACTCACATAAAGAAATATACATATACAAAACCTCATTGTGAGGAACCAAGTATTGGGTAAGTTTGTTTATGTTGAAGTTTTTATAAGAGATTTCATATAGTGTACTAGTGAATCTCCATACTTTTTTTTTTGTTTTTGGATTTCATCGATTTAAATCTTGCAGAAATTGTATGTGAATATATGTGCAATATAATTAGTGTATTTGGGTTGCATTGATAGAATAGTGAATAACATACGTATGTGTCTGCATTGTTACAAATTAAAATTATTTGATTCTATTGGTGCATTTCAGTCCAAATCAAATGTTGCATTTGCAAATAAATTCAAATTTATTTCAAAATATGTGTGATCGATGGATTAAATGAATGATGTTTTTGGCATTTTACATGTTAATATTTAATTTTTGGAATTTTAAACATAAGGAATGTTTAGAAATATATATTTAATTTATGAGTTGTGTTAATTTTAACATAATTAAGATATAAACTATTCCATCTTCCAAGTTGGATCACATTTTACTAAATTTCGTTTAGTAGTTTAGGAGTTTACCGCGGAGAAAACGTGACACGTGATTTTTATATACGTATATAGATTATGTTTTTCAGCATTTAATTATATTTTGTTCTTAAACACAGTAATTTAACTCTTTAATTGCATTTTTATTTTGCATAATACATTTCTTTTCATCTTTTTTTCTAGCTTACAACCTGGAACAACAGAAAACTATTTACATTTAAGTATAGATTGACTTAATATAATAGAAAGTTATACATAAATTTTATATTTGATACATACATTTTAAACATGGGTAGAAAGTCATCCACCAAACCCTTGAGGAAAGAGAAAAAGAAGTGTAAAGCTACGGTGGCGAAATTCCGTAAACAAAACGTTCATTCTCAAGAAATTGGAAATAGTAGCAAATTGTCAGATAGTAGCAATAGCATAGATTTCAGTACTTTGGACGATATCCGTGTAAAATATGAGAACGAACTCGAAGGTGATAGTGATTCTGGAGGTCATTATTCCTTCGAATGCACAGACTATGTAATGGAAGACAACAATACGGATCTACCTCAAAATATAAACTTAGAACTTAAGGCGTGGGCAATTAGGAATAATATAACCCATAATACTCTGACGGATTTACTGGGGATTTTACATAAAATAGGTGTAAATGGTTTACCCTTATCGGCGGAAACTCTCTTACGTACAAGTAGAGATAAGGGTGAAATAAATGACATATCTGATTTTACCTGTGCTTCACCCGCTCGCGCCTTGGTTACTGGGTATATGCCTCATACAAAGAAGCATAGTACCTGGAAATCTCCTAGCCGCATTATCAGTGACATGGATGATGATGAGTATTTTGAGTTTTCACCCAAAATTCCCATATCATCGGCAGAAGAACTGTTGACTGTGGAAACGAAGTTAAAATCGAAGGCCAGTTATGATGCAATGGTAATTATTTTGACTGCAAAAGTGAATCTACTTTTTCATGATTATATTAATATTTATTTCTTTTCACAAATAGGCGCGGCTACTGGTAAAGACAAAAAGCTTTAAAGGAAGTGTGGATGGTGTCCTTCGTTCATTGTTTACAGACGATTTAATGGTGCACTACAATTTAGAGGGACGAAAGGCGAAATTGGCGCTTTTGAAATTAAAGTGCATTGATGTAATATTTGGTGAGCTTTACCAAATTACATACATATACTATATTTATTACAGCATTACAATTATTATTTTCAGATGTTTTTCCAGAACGCCCAAAGGAACAAATACTTTTAGATATAAGACATTTTATAGCCTCAAGTCATAATAGAAAAAAGCAACAAAAGCATAAATTAAAGATTAAGGTTCTTTAAGTAACGTACATATATACATAGGTTACATTGTAAATATTAAAATGTTAGCTAATATAATATTATATATAATTAGTTGTACGATGTATGTACATAAATATTGTAGGTTTATGTATACGTCAATATATAATATAATATAAGTAAAATAAGATGAGCACACATATTTTTTATTTTAAGTAAAGTAATAATACATATACAAATAACAATTAATAAATTTAGTTATATGAAAATATGGAAAACATTAATTAAAAAACAAGTAAGGTGGGGCTAAGTTTGGGTGTAAAGCGGCTTGTTAGAATAACGAACATCTTTGTAGTTCGAAAATTTTTGTATTAGGTATATGGGGACTAAGAGAATTATTGATCCGATTCAACTGATTTTTGGCATAGAGGTGTACTATCTCTTCGAATTTTTATAATATTATATATCACACAGACATCGATATTTTCGATAAAAAGCGCGCAATAGGAGCTCTTTACGACTTATTCGGTACCTGGGGCTTGAATATTTTTGTTCCGACTTGAAAAATTGTTGGTCTTAAATTGGCACACTTTAAAGGCACTATTCGTGTAAAGTTTCATCCAGTCAGGAAATTTTTACTCAAGTTATTGCTTGAACGGATGGACGAACGGGATAAAACGTACGAAATAGAAATAATGATAAACAAAAGAACAAAGCATACCATTGCAGGTTTACAAGTATCTTTAATTACAAATAAAAAGCTGGGGGTATGAAATCAACATTTTTCAAAAACTAAATACAAAATAGAAGCAGGCGCTCTTATCTCCTCATAACCATTCTTTTTTGAAGTACGCAGTTATTCGGCTTTCTCTCCTTCTTTCTTTTCAACCTCTCCTTGAGGTTCGTCTAACAGTATATCTCTACGGCATTTCCGCAAAGCTTTACGCATAATCAGTTCTTGCAATTCTTGCTCTTTACGACGTTCCTCCTCCTCCAGTTGCCTCCTATACTCATTTGCCTCGTACTCAGCTTTTGACGAAATCTCATGTACCAAACTTAAATTCTCCATTATACCTTTACGTACAAGGTAAGAAAAATTCATGGCAGCCGAATATTTAATTTCCATGCCACTACGTGTTGAGAGCTCTTGCCAGTGCATATATAGCCAATGTTCGTTCTTCAACCAATCTATACATTGCCATACTGGTACAAAATCATCACATTTGGCCAAGTAGAATTTTGCCACTTCCTGAATTTCCGGCTTCTCGGTGAATATATCATAGGTTTCCCGCAATAATTTACGTATATCTTCGATGGATTTCCAAACATCTTCCAAATCAATATTGATGAGTGGATTGCCAACGGTTGCATCTTCGAGTTTGAGAAAGTCCAAACAAGTTAGCCACAACTGGCGATATGGTGTAAAACCGGTGATAATACTCTCGAGAAATTCCAATGAAAGGTCTTCTAGGTCGAAAAGTTTCTGGCGATACTGTAGTGTTTTGCCGAGTTTCTCCAATTCTTGAATTTGCTTCCAGGTTTTTTTGACCTACCATGAAAATTATGGAAAATAAATATATTAGGCAAAAATTAGTCCTATCGATAAACCTCACTTTAGACGTCCAAGTATGGTAATCAGTACGGTTTCTAATCCAGAGTGGAACGTAAAAGCTCTATTGAACTACTAGCTCTTAGCAAGATTCACATCGTCGAAATGACAGATGTCCTAACTCACTTTCTCTCCCACCGTCCAGCTTTCGCCAAACTAAGGCTGAAGCATCACGATTGTCATACTTTCTATGAACCTGGCGAATTGGCTAGAATTGATATTAGCCATCTTAATAAATTTGTGGCAATCTCTATAAATTTTGTCTATATGTGATGGCCCTTTTGATCTATACCTAGGAGTTCTGGGCATCACAACGGACAGGCGTCTCTAGCTTTCCATGTGAAATTATTCGTGACCTCACGTTTCTTAACCTAGTCTAGGCTTCAGTAAGTTTTTTCAGGTGGAGTTTGTCTCTAGAAGAAAGAGTAATTTAGGCGTTCCTTATCTTTCGGTCAACAAAACTTTTCCAATATTTTTCAACCGCTTGTAATATGCAATAAAAGGACAAGTGGAGAGCTTTTTGGCAACCGATTCCATACTTAATTGCAACGGAGCCAGATTTTTGTAAAACGTTTTTTTACAACTTAGCCACACAGCCAAATAGGTCTGATGTATGCGTTAAACCCTTAGATGGGCCATCTGGATGAAAACTCCAGAACATATTTCTTTATTTCAAGTGCTATAACTATTTAATTAAATGACATCACGGTCCCTTATATACTACAGTTAAAAGCCCGCTTCAGTAGCATCATGTCGACATACTCGAAAAGATACAAAACCAAACCCAAGTACAGTCGTGTGTAGCTTTTAAAAGTTCGGGAGCATTAAATAGACTAAAAATTCCACCAAATTGATCTGTCGTTCCATCGAGGGAAAATTCAGACTTCGGAATGAAACTTTCGGTCTTTCCGACACTCTTACTTACCTCCACCGCTGTCTCGGTGACCTTATTCGGATCGAATATCAGCGAAAAGGCTTGTATCTCTTCGTTCAGCGACTCCAAACGTTCCTCAAAACTGATGCACTCACTGGAATGTACGCGTCGAAACTCTTCGATATCATTCTTTTGCTCCTCACGTAAAGTACCCAAACGCTGCATAATGGTGTGCGGCCAAGCGTAAACCTCCCATTTCATAGCGAATTGTGTATCACTGAGATTATAGAAGAAACTGTCGAGCATTTCATATTCCAACCACATAATTTGTATATCTGCACGCAGCTGCTCGACGACATCCGGCACTGTAGCGGCAAAGTCGCGTATCTCATACAGATGTTCAATGCTTTGTGGACGATCGCTAATTTTCTGATATATGTCTAAGCATTGCTCCAAAATAGTCTCATTTATATCCCACATACGTTGTATATAGTACTCGAAAAGTTTGCGTACAATATCGGTGTGCTTCTTAATCATTAGCTGTTTCATGAGTTCGACATTAATCAGAAACGGACCGATCGTAATAAAAGCTGGTAAGATCTCACGTAGTTCCTCTTTCTGCCGTTTGTGCTCCAATATGTCGTATTTCACCTCCGACGAGGAACGTTTTATCGATTCGTATTCGCGCATGTATTCATTTACATTTAGTAAATAGAAATCGATGAAGCGGTCATAAAGACGCGCGTAAGAATTTAGTGGTAGGACGGCTTGATTATAACAACGACCCAATAGATCATTCCGTTGTATGAATAAATCTTCAATGAGCTCAACTGTCTCTATATACAGATTGGGTGCAAATTTGAGATTCAGCAAAGTTTCAGCCTCAATGCAGCGTACACCGCTCGTCTTCTCCAATGCCTTCTTAAAGATATCTGTTAGTAGCGGTGCAAAGTCTTCCGGTGTGGTAGAGTAAACGACCTTCTTAGCCTCTGATATGCTGATGATTAGAAAGAAAATGGGTTTATCACATGGAAATTCGGTTTCAATGTAATTATTGCGCCACTTAAAGTCCGGTTGTAGTTTCAGAAATTGTAAACATGGATCCGTTAAATAAACGCTGAAAGTATCGATCGATTTCTCCAACAGCACCTGTATGGATTCTTGCATGCGAAATTTTGTTTGCAATATAAAACGTGATATCTTGCACATCTGATAGACGCTCCATTTATCAAGACTGATGTCCAGCCAACCTTTACCGAGTGCGCGCAGCACCAATGTTATGCCAGACGATATCTTTTGTGGCCAAAAATTCTTCAAATATGTCGCGACATTATTGCTATTCGACTGTTGTGACTGTAGGAAATCATTTAGCGCCACGGGTTTCACAAAGCCCGTCAAGAAAATCGATAATGTTTCAATATACTGACACTGCACGGCGACATTACACATTGCCTCGATACCGGCACCAATATAGAATATGGTTGAGCGTAGTAAAAGGTAACGTAACTTTTTGATATTCACACGGAAATTCTTAACACTCCGCGCCTCGTTAATATTCGCCACCGATTTGAAGGCGCGTGGTAAGGAATTCTCAATGAGATTATCATCAAAGGTGGGAAATTCTTTCGGCATTAGTTTGACGAATTTTTCGAACTCATAACAAGCCATTAAATGCTCGAACACAAGATAAACTTCGATGCGTAATTGATATTGAAATTTATCATCGGCTCTGCCGATCACCTTCTGTAGCAGATTATCGATACGTTCGTTGCGCATAAAACGTTGATCTTCAATATCTTGCATTAGCACACAGTCCACGATCGATTCCATTTTGATCAGCCGCTCGGCATTGCAACGATCATTTAGCGCTTTTTTAATGCGTTGCACAAACATTTTTGGACTGTCCGCAAGAAACATAATTTGTATACTTGGTATTTCATATAACAGCTCATCGTCCAAATTCAACACAGTCCATTTAGATGTGTCCCTATCGTAAGCGCTAACGGCGACATATTGCCATCTGTAGTCGAATAGGCTCTGTTTGTAAGGCAGGAAAGCTTTAGCTGGCAGTGGATATACGCCATCTTCCACATTACCTAAACTTAACCACGCTTCCGGTGAGTTTGTGTCATAGTCGGAGTCATCGAAGAAACTCAAAGGTAGAAAGTGTTTAAATACATTATCGGAGAGGCTGTAGTACAGTATTTCAGTTGGCATTAGATCGGCATTCGATATGCCGGCCTCATCCAGCATTTGCAATAGGTCTAGTTTACTGTTTTGTCGTCGACGTCGATCGACTTCAACATCGCGCGGTAAATGCTTTGGTGGCACCGTACGTGTCATTTGCACTTTGGGTAAGATAGTTTGTAGTGGAAATTTGTGTTGTCGCCCATTTTTGCCGTTCAACACAAGCCACTTTTGCGCCGTCTCGATATGATAGTGACTGGACTCTAAGAATTCAGTTGTAATGATTACTTCTGGAAATTCTGTTGGTTGCTCAACGCCTATTGTCGGGCATTGAAGTCGTTTTTCTTCCGTTATCATTTCTTCGTCGATCCCAACATGCTTGAGTAAGTTCGTGGAATAGATGCGACGCATTTTCGGAGTTTTTTTCTATTATTTTTTCGTTTAAAAAAGATCTATTTATAGTTAAAGTTGTAAAAAAAATATAATTTTTCTTTTCGGCTATTGGTTTTGAAGAGCTCTTTGTAGTTGAAATTACAAACAAATTATAATTTTTTCTTTTCAGTAATTGGTTTGAAGTTTTTCCTCCTTTATATTGAGTTTGTACATTTTCTATTTGAGTGTTGTATCATGTTTTTTCTTGAAATTCTTACGTTGAAAATTATTGGGAAATTATCAAAGTAGTGTAAGTGGACGAGCACGTGGCTTCCATAAAAATATTCTATTGAAGATTCGGAAGTATTTATTGGAGAGCTGATTTCAAAAGTTCTCAGGGGCTTATGCTGAGCGTAGGCCTAAGAAGCGAGTTTGAAGTTTTGAGTCCGTTTACAGAGTGTGTAACTTGTCGGCTCGAAACCGCGGAGCTTGTCAATTAAGTCCATCAAAAGAAAGTAAAATAATCCGCGTTATTGATACATTTTATCAGATCCAATAGATTTTAAGCTTACAAGTAGTTTCAAGGAAATCACAATAACATTTTACTTTATTTGCTGATTACTTGGAGCCAATAAGGCGTCAGATTTTTGGGTTAAAGAGCATGAAAGTTGATGGTTAAGCTTCAAAATCTTTGAGACAAAACTTCTTCACAATTTGATCATGAATTCTGGGTCATAGAAGAGCTTTCGAAGCCACAAAAGGTTTTGAAATCAAAAGTTAGAAAATGTCATCAATGCGCTAAAACCACATGATATTGGTTGTAGTTCTGTTTTTGTAGTCGTCGAATCGAATAGCCGATAGCTGTTATGGACTACCTGTTAGCGTCATTAGTAAATTATATTATTTACATTATATCATTATATTTACCGTCTACCAACGTTACAATTTTTATTAACATAACATTTACCATTACTATTAGCACTATCATTTTCGGTTGTTTACTTTTACCATATAATTGTCATCAAATTCAACAATATAGCATATAGAATATATTTGTATTATCACTATTGTAATCATTACTTAGAGAGCTGATACTGGAATTCGGACATGACTTATGCTGGGAATGACACTCCAGATATTGGAGCAGCGGTTTATTAGAAATTTACCCACATTACCATTGTCATTACAATTACAATTACCATTAAAATTACGATTACTTTGGTAATTAGAGCATCATCCACATACGACATGCCATGCTATTTAAGTAGCGGTTTTATTGGACATCTCTTATCATTATAATTACAATTACCATTACTTCTGTTTGTAACAGTAATTAGAACGTTCATACCAAAAATTACATTACAGGTATATAAGCAGCGCTTAAATAAAAATGTTGGCATTTTTTTCATCAAGAGAAAAAATAAATCAAAAATATATTATAAATATTCATTACTACGCTTTATTTTAATTGAATTTCGAATGCTAATTACATACTAATTACGGTCTCATAGGCATTACTACAAACTAAGCACTACTTTTTCTAGTGGTTAATTTATAAATATTTAAGGGTTTACGTATGAAGTTACAAAATTCATTAATATAATAAACCATATGATCCTAGCATTATAACTCGAAATCCCGCAGTTATGTACGTCTTTAGAATAATCAAAGAATATAACGGATACCGTCAATGGCACCTCGATCTTTTCATCCATTTCGAATTCCAAATCATTACGTTCGCCAAACAGCAGTGTTGCCTGCTGAACCAATGACTGCTGTGCTATACCCGCTTCGGTAAATTGACCCACTAGGAACTCGTAAGCAATATTTAGTAACATATTTCGACAACTAAAACTTTGTGTCTGCGCATTGAATTCACCACTTATGGGCGCAAAATTTTGATTTTCTACTTTTAAAGGCGTCCATTTGTCGCTACGATTTTCTGGTCGTCCCAATTGAGAGATAAATAATTCCGGAAATTTTTCATCCCACAGAAAAACATCAGCAGCAAATAACTGTGCTGTGATTTGGGCTTGTAGTTGTACGCAAATTTCAGTGAAATTGCGTTCTTTTTGGGATATTTTCGTGAGGCTTTCATTATTAAAACGCAGCTTGCATTGCTTTAGCACATTTATGCCATAGTTTATAAGGTTTGCCGGCGCAGCATCGTGGTGGCAAAAGCGTTGGTGTGTGGTGAATAAAGAAAGTGTGTGATTTGCAGACGATTTTGTGGCATTTACATGGAAATAATTTAAAACTTGATTTGTTTGCGTTAATGCGGCACTTTGATTGTTTGCTATAAAGCGCGCTACAATTATAGGTTTGCCTTCTGTATAACCCAAAGGTCCAGAAGTAAGTTTGACTGTTTCTACATTGTAAGCAGTCTCATTTATTTCTTTGCTTACATCCTTAAATGTTATATTTTTGTAAATATATTGCAAGTGGTATGTTTGCCATAATTCTCTGCTGTTTAGCGTAGTATTTATAGCACTGAACTCTACCAAGCCACCCAAAAGTTGTGTGTAGTTATGTAACAGTTGAAATTTGATCTCTGCGGGGTAGAGGAACTTGAGACGATGTTCTACAGCAGTGCTGTTATTTAGTGGCATTATTTCACATAATTCACTTTCACAAATTTGTAATTTAAGGTCGCTTAAAATATTCATAATATACCCCGGTTCGTTGGCCTCGTTTATGGGTTTTAAGAGTAATTTGTTATTTTGCATAAAATTTAGTATATTTCTGGCGCTTAATTGTAGTTCTTCTAATGTGGCTAATAAACAGTCGACTTTGTATGTTTTTAAAAATTTGACAGATTCCATTATTTGACAGTGTGGCGGTTGAAAAGTATTTGGAAGATCTAACGAGAGATACGAAGATTATTTAATTAGTTTTTAGTGTAATTTGGAGCATTTATTCACTCACCAAATTGTTTTAGTGACATTGTTTTCATATTTAGGAATTGTAGAGGGTCTCCATATTTGTATAAGTTCATATTTTCTTCAGCATGTTGTTCGCTAACGGTATCCCAAATAGGTGTAGGCCATTTATAGTAGTGCTTTGTATTCAAATTAATTTCGGGTAACTGAAAAAACAAGTATAAGTATATAATATCTATACCAATATTAATACTAATATTAATAATTAATATCAATATCAATAGCAGTATCAATAGCATTATTAATATTAATACCAATGTAATATTAATATCAATATATCAATATCAATATAAATATCAATATCAATATCAATATCAATATCAATATCAATATCAATATCAATATCAATATCAATATATGTTGACATTCATCCTACAACGGACATATTGGTTCGAATTGGCAATACTATGTGCAAAAAGTTTACGACAGTAAATTTGAATTTCTTTGAAGTCAATGGCGAAAGTTAATATTATTTATAAATAGTTTAATAATTTAAAAGTTAATATCATTCTTCATCTCAATCTAAATATTAGTTAAAATCACAACATCAACATCAATATCAATATCAATTGAAAGTCAATATCAATATCAATATTATTATAATTATCAATATCAATATCAATATCAATATTAATATCAATATCAATATCTATATCAATATCAATATCAATATAAATATCAATATCAATATAAATATCAATATCAATATCAATATCAATATCAATATCAATATCAATATCAATATCAATATCAATATCAATATCAATATCAATATCAATATCAATATCAATATCAATATCAATATCAATATCAATATCAATATTAATATCAATATCAATATCAATATCAATATCAATATCAATATCAATATCAATCTATATGTTTCTTGTAAATNNNNCAATATCAATATCAATATCAAGGTCAATATCAATTTCAATCACTCAATATCAATATCAATATCAATATCAATATAAATATCAATATCAATATCAATATCAATATCAATATAAATATCAATATAAATATCAATATCAATATCAATATCAATATCAATATCAATATAAATATCAATCTCATTCTCATTCGCATTCTCATTCGCATTCTCATTCTCATTCTCAATCTCAAGCTCAGAGACGCACTAACTTTCTGTTGCTCCTTTCGCGTATTCGTGCGAAAGACGCACAGCCAACCATCGTTTACTTTGCACGATGGCAATCCATGTTGATATTGAAAGTCCTCTAAACGGTTTTTTAACTTTTTTTCCATTGGTTGATTATTGCAATCAAATACATTTAATGCTTCCTGCGTACAATCTCTATCACAACAACAATTTATGTCGCAAGCATCCAGCAAAAGATCGCAGTTGCAATAATAGACGCCCTGACCTGAATGCGTTTTGATTGAGTGGTTATTATCATTCGAAACTTCGGATGTATTTTCTGCTATATTAGTGGCTGTCGTACTCGCTACTGTAGACGGCGTTGATGTAGTTGTTGTTGTAATTTTTGGTGATTTTGTAGTCCTTAAGCGTGGTGGAAATATGGAAATCGTAAAGTTAGGTTTTATTGTGGTTGTTGTTGTTATTACGGCCGTAGTTGTTGTAGGGCTAGTAAACTCGGTTTCTATTTCTGTAAAATCAGATGTTGCGGTGCTCTCTAACAAGTCAACTACCGTTGTGGGTTCTGTGGAACTTGGCGGCATTTGTGCGGTTGTTGTAGTTGTAGTAGTGGTGCTTGTTATATCTAAATTTATTCTCGAAATACCAATTTTCACTGCGCACACAATTTGCAGCAACAGCAAGAGCTGTGCTGTTGTGAGTATTTTCTTCATTTTTTATTTATTTTTAAATAATTATTTTCACTTAAATTCCACGCCAAATTTAGCGAAATTGCGAAAAATTAAATTAAGGTCGATGATAATTTTTCCAGATGAGCGTGTTTGTAGTTTATATCTATAAAAATGTAAATATGTTTAAACGATTTCTTCTAGATATGCAATTATGTACTCATTTACCCACCTCTCCACACCTGTATAGATTAGATCCGCTTTACTTAGTCCCACTCCTCCACCACCGAATTTCTCACGCACACTATCGTACCAAGTGAGTGGTGCCACTTTCCAAGTCAACACTTCTAAGCGATGTGCACCCGGTCGGCTTGGTATATGCACGAAACCGTAACCAACTGGCCAACTTTTATGCAGCACATTCAATGCGTACACTTCTACATGCAATTTGGGCCAACCCTGTATGGAAACCGTGGCCAGATGTATATCCAAGGGATGTGCAAAATCGGAAGACTGTTCTAAGCGATTCGAACAGACAAGCGTTTGACCGGTTACTTCGCCTTGTACGAGTTTCCAGGCGCTACCTGAGGGGCATACAAAGCAGGGGAAGGTGTCTAAAAATATTTGAGCTTATAATTATTTTTATCTACGCACCGCTTTGTAGGCTCCACTTGCAGTAGAGGTGTGGTTCCGTGAAATCAACGGCTTTCAAAATTTGTCCGATGACATGCACTTCCGCCATCAAAAGGCTTTATACAAGTATGCTTCAAATATTGCCAGTATTAGCATAGCCTAGTATTTTTTTATATACTTTTGCATTAAATTATATAAGTTATCTTATATTTTCATTCCTTCTTCTTTTCGCAAGTTCTTTATTTTAATATTTGTTATTTTATTTTTACAAAATTTCTCAATCTAATGTTGCAGCACGTGCTTTTTATATACAAAAAATCGTAATACTGTTGTTTTTTTATTTTTTCCACAATTTTGATTTGTTTGTCGTTACTGATCGTCTTGGTTACTACTAGAGGTTGCCACACGTATGAAGCACTTGACAAACTACCCTTAAAAATATTTAAATTTTGCATGCAGCACGTGTGGTGTGTAAGCTAGAGCGGTTGTTTGGTTGTAAAGTTGTCAATTTAATAGCCGTCTTCGATTCACCACCTGTCTGCTCGCTAAGTTTCAATTTTTTCTTTCTTGGCTAAAAATTTATATGTCAAGGTAATAGTTAGACCAACCACTGCGGTGCTTTAGTGTGGTGGACAGTCTAATGAAAATCTACCTACTGAAAGCCAATGATGGCTCTGGAATTTGTACTAGCATAAACCTGCCACATATAGACCTCTTCGCTGAAAACTGCGCGGCAAAATCGGCGGAACGACTACTAGCGGAAGAAGTATTTACATATAAAACCTTCGGGCATAGCTCGGTGGGTAATGACGGTTTGGCAGGTACTGACTACATGGGGTGAAAAAATAGTTAGTGAAGTCACAGAACTTGTTGATTTTCGCGTCAAGCGCTGGCATTTTAAAGGATAACTACTCCTCATAGACTATGTGATCACATTGCATGTGATTTTCCCTAAGAACCCAAAACTGTTCTATGCGTGGCTTTTTAGCCTACCAGACCTAAGTTTAATTGAATAAAAGATTGTACATGACCTACTCATAAAAGTAATATAAAATCTTCATAATCTAAATACCCGTATGAAATTCGCGTTTTTTTTGTGAAAATTAAATTTTGAATGGGAAAGTAAAAAAAAAAATCATTCAAAGTATTGACCAGTGCTTTTTACACATTTTCATCACCTTTCTGTCAATTTGTGAATACCATGGTAATACAAATGTTCGTCTTTTGAAGCAAACCAATTAGACTTCCAATTTTCGACTTGAGCGTAGGAATCGAAGTGCTGCTCACTCAATTTCTCATCGTCGATAAAAACAAATGGTAATCAGAAGGGGCCAAGTCTGGTGAATACGGCGGGTGGGGTAGCAGCTTTTAGCCAAGCACTTTGATTTTATCCGAAACCGATTTTCTTTTGTGTAAGTGCATTGTCGTGTAACATAATTACTTTGCCGTGTCTTTTGGCCCATTCTGGTCGTTTTTTGATGAATGATGGTTCAAAATAACCATTTGTTGTCTGTACCGATTAGTATTAACACTTTCACCAGGTTCTAGAAGCTCATAATATACCATATCCTTCTGATCCCACCAAGCATTGCCTTGTTGCCAAATCGATCTGTTTTTGCAGTCGATGTTGATGGTTGTCTCGGATTAGCCCATGATTTTATCCGTTTAAGATTTTTAAAATAAACCCATTTTTCATCGCCAGTGGCAATTCGATGCAAAACTGATTTTCTTTTGTGTCTTTGAAGCAAAATTTCAAAAGTGTTTTTTCAATATTCCATTTGTCTTTCATTCAATTCATGTGACACTTATTTTCCACGCTTTTGGATCTTTCCCATAGCTTTCAAACGGTCTGATATTGTTTCTTTTGCAATATTTAAAATGGCTGCCATTTGCTTTTGACTGAAATTATCATCTTCATCCAATATTGCTTGCATTTCGGCGTCTTCAAATATTTTCGGTGGTCTTCCACGTTCTTCATTTCTCACATCAAAATCATTATCTCTCAGCCATTTAATCCATTTTTTTCATGATGCTTCTAATAGAGCATTATCACCATATGCCTCGACAAGCATTCGTTGCGACTCTGCAGCACTGTTCTTCAAATGAAAACAAAAAATTAATGCTTGCCGCAAATCATCGCTTTCCGGTACAAAATTTGAAATTTTCAACATAGTGAAAAATTATGATGATTAGGTTTGACAGCTGTCATGCCAACCAAACAGAAAAAAAATGAAGGCTCGTTCACAACAAATGTTCCCTACCAATACATTTGTAGCTTAACGCTCACTTCATACCGGTACACCTGGTATATCGACTTTATCATAAGTATATTAAATTTTTATTTTATTTTATTTATTCGTTTTTGTCTTTTTTATATTTTCTAACCTTCTCTTTTCTTTCTTTAACATTCCGTTTTTTCTTTGCTTTTAATAGATTTTCTTATAATTTTTCTTCTATTTCATTAATTTTCTCTCCTTCATATTCACTCCGTTTCTTTTCTAACTTATTTAAACTCTTGTTTTAGAAAAATACTACACAATTTATTTTTCAGATTAAAGAGGCATGCTGTTATCAGAAATATTATGTCAGGATTCTTTCTTTACTTTTGGGTCATATTAATTTAGGAAAAAATAAAATTTTCGAAAACATATGACACCTTGTATTAAATCACAGGAAATAGATTTTTTAATGTCATAAATACTTTATTTACTCTTTCTCAAAAAATTTTCAAAAACCTACAGAAAGTCCGAAAAAAATAATTCTAAAACATTTCAAAATTAAACGTTAAAAATTAAAATTTTTTTATAACACTAAAATATTTAATACAACTATCCATTAATTTTCAAACTGCTTTACGAATAACGCTATAACAGCGAAATCCAACGTATTTAACAAATCAAAGTGAGTCGTAACAATAAAAGAGTTCAAATTAAAGCGCACATACCATTTCATGCATGTTTTGTTCATGCGAAAGTCTCAGAAGAACGGGAAAACAATTGCTGTTGGAAAAATAAAAGAAGTACGACGACGTAGTAACGGCGATCCTCATCGGTTATGCCAACACCCCCGCAAAAAACGTTTGACGACATCAACAAGAATAAGCAAAACAACAAAACTGATGAAAAAATAAATGTTAACGATGCGTTACGACAGCAGGGCGGTGCTACGAAAGATGATGATCGGTCACAAGCCGATATTTCCGTGCATCGTGCTGGTTCAACAGCAACTTTAGCGACTGAAACAAAGTCCTACATAAATGGACGTCCGAAAACTATATTAGAAGATCACGGCATAGTACTTGGTAAGGTGATAGGTACGGGTAACTATGCAAAAGTAAAAATCGGGTTTTCGGAGGAGTACGGCAAACGTGTCGCCGTTAAAATTATATCGAAAGTGAAAGCGCCAGCCGAGTATACAACGAAATTTCTACCACGTGAAATTGAAGCTGTCAAAGGATTGCATCATGAGAACTTGATAACGTTCTATCAAAGTATCGAGACAAGTCACAGGTAAGTTACTTGACTTCTACAAACTTCTACAAAACGCGATAATCTTTAGAATGTTTTTAAACTAACTATATTAAACTTCCCTGAAACATTTGCGAGGTCAGTTGATTGATTTTACACGGCGAAACTCAAAATGTTCTTTTCGGAGTATAAATATATAATATAATATATTGACTTCTCGCATGACTAGATTCGGTAAAGACACTTTGGATTGGCTAGTGTTTTCTACCCCATATGTTTACTATATTTGATCCTACCACAAATTTGTTCAGGTGGCTAAACTGCCGATATGTTTTAACCTCCCTCTGCTAAAAGCTGAATAATGAAGAAGCAATTGCTTAAATGTTTCTATCTCACCTTCCTCCATACGACTTTGACAATTTTCGTCCGATAATACTTTTAGTCTTAACACATTGACGTCTATTGGATACTGTCCAGTAAGAATTCCTACGGATGCTTGAAGATAAAATTTGCTAAAAGCAAGTAGTTAAGTGGATCTCCTGTATTTTATTGTAGGACCGAAGTATATCGCAATTGCACAGGATCTAGTCATCGACCAACACCTGCTAAGCTCAAGAAAGAATCCAGCTCGTTTTTACTCCAATGTAAGTGGGACAAGGGCGTCGCTTTTGTGAGCTCATCAGCTTTGCAGTTTCCAGTAATTCAGCTATGGCCAGGTATTCAAACGAATGAATGAATCTCACCTTCCCGAAAGGCAGCACTTTGGATCAATACGTTTGCTGTTACCTGTATTTCAGTAGTTTACAACTAAGATGGACGTAGAGCTCTTAACAGAAAACTACCTCTCCAACCTTTACACCGAGCTTCGTCCTATCCATGACATCCTGTTCTCCAGGAACTTCGCAACGTCCACATACATTTTGTCTGTTTATAGCTTTATAAGTTTTACTTGTATAGCGAGCATAGCTTTTTGAACATAGGAGAAGGAGAGGTTAATGTCATATAGATAGTTTAGTTCTCAGTGAATCTAGAAATAGATGCGTTTACTAAGATTTTCTTATCCTAAACCTACATATTATTGTTGCTGCCGCAATAAAAACATTTAAAACATTTCCAAATTACCAAATACTTTCGAAGAATACTTAGATAAGAAATTGCAGTTCATTATCGAATATAAATATGGAACTGTTTTGATTACAGCTTCAAAAGGTTTTTTGCTTATTTTAAGCGAGAAATTTAGTACACGAGTCAGCTTGTGTACCGACCTCTTCTATATACTATTGTCTCTTTATAGAGTCTATTTAATCATGCAACTAGCAGAGAATGGCACCCTCCTCGATTATGTACGCGAAAAGAAGTTTCTAGAAGAGCCGCATAGTCGCAATCTATTCCAACAATTAATCAGCGCCGTCGAATATATACATTCTAAAAATGTGGTGCATCGGTAAGCGACGAAAGAGTTCATCTTTAATACTTTTAATAAAATTACTTACTCTCTTTAGTGACATAAAATGCGAAAATCTCCTACTAGACGAAACGTATACGTTAAAATTGATCGATTTCGGCTTCGCACGCAAAGATACGCGTACTACTGATCAGCAGGTGATACTTTCGAAAACCTTTTGTGGCAGTTATGCATATGCCAGTCCAGAAATCCTTAAAGGTAAACGCTTAAATTACTTCCGTTTTCACTCTCTGTCTATAATTGAATTGATCGATAATTTTTAACTACAACAGGTATTGCCTACGATCCTTTCATGTCCGATGTTTGGGCATGTGGTGTTGTCTGTTATGCAATGGTTTTCGGGCGACTACCCTACGATGGTTCCAATGTGCATATATTGCTTAAACGTATTAATGCAGCACTCGCTTTTCCGAAGAATCCTCCCGTCTCTGGTGATTGTAAGCAGTTAATTGGTCATATATTGGCGCCATTGAAAATACGTTATGCTATACCGCAGATTAAAGAGGATCCTTGGTTTAATAAAAACTAACGTGGGAATATACTTACAAGTGATAAGATTTTCGGAAAATAAATTAAAAATTCAAAATTAACTGTTGATATCCTAAGGAAAGCATTAACTATGAAAGTAAAGAAACGTCAAAAAAGATTAAATAAATTTTGAGATATACCATCTGATTAAATTTGACTCGGACTGACAAAAATAATAATTTGAACACAAATCTTTATTATCGCCTTCAAAATAGAATCCTGAGGCAATGCAATAATGCCAACGCTTAATCTGATTTTCCATACACCTGTCATACGCCTCGGTCTTGCCATAATAATAAGACTCTGGTAATTTTGCCGGCTTAGAATTATGAATTTGAAAATTTCTATATGTTTCTTCGGACTTTAACCCAAAACAATCGAACGAATATTGCTTCCGACGGTAAATCTTTCCATATCGAGTGCTTTTTGCAAGCATTTTTTCAATACTTTAAGGACTTATAATATCGATAGAATACCGTCGCTTGAAATATTCTTTGCTTTAAAATGTTTTTCAAAAGTTCTTTTTTATATCTTCGACCATTGACCTTTAGACAATATTAATATTCATACAAAGAAAGACGTCTTTGCTAATTAAAATTCAATATTTAAGTTTCAACTTGAGTAATTAGCATTTGCATGCAAGTAAACTTCCGCTACTCGCCTACAAATACAAATATTCCTAACATTTATCCACTTATGTATGTACTTGTAGTTTACATTACAAACAATCTCATATTCAAAACTTCAGGGCCGTTCTGATGCGTTTAGGCGCCCAAAGATAAGTCTTATAATATATGGGGCGCTCAATTTAAAGAAGTGTTTAAAGAACGTATGTATATTCTTAATTGTTCTTACTTTTTGTGGAATCAGTTTTAGACATCCACTAAACATATAAATTTATTTGATTATGACATCGTCATTTTTGTTAAATCAAAACATGTTTTCCTTAACTATACCATACAGCTTCGACATTCTTTGAAAAACAAATGCAACCAAACAATTCTAGATCCTTGAGTTTCTTTTCGATACATTTTTTTTTATTATATTATATTCATCAAGGCTCTAGTCCCTGATGAGTTTTGAGACAATTTTGCTCGGCTAATGTGTTATAAGATACAATATTTTTAATGCTCAGTCGTGTCTACGAAACCAGAATGGAGGCAACGTACATACAAGTATAATATATGGACAAAATGAGATGTCAAAATCCAGTTGCCACATTGACTAGAGACGTACACAATGAATGCCATCATACATAGCTCTAAAAGTATTCAATGCGCTACCAGCCTCGAGAAAAAACAGTACTACCACATTCATATAATATTAAAAAAAAATATATACCTATATTATATATATAGCGTACTCCCAAATGTTAATTGTTCTACTAGATAATACTTATCAAATGTTGGTTAGGAATATTTTAGTCACATACTAGCTTAATTATCGTACGGGATGTGTAATATTCTTCGAGATGCTCTTGTTAGTACTATTGTTCTTCCAGATGCCCATTTTTCTTCGGGATGCCATATTGGGTAAAAATTTATCAATTTTATTGCTCATCCAGATGTTCATTGTTCTTCGCGTTGCCAGTTGTCAGATAGCTGTCAAAAATGTAACAGTCTTATATTAGTTCAATAGTCCTTCGAAATGTCAATGGTCAGATATTGGTATAAACTTGCAGGTGTGATTTGCTCTACGAGATGCCAATTATTATATGTTCGTCAGACAAATGTTGGTCTCGTACTAGTTCAATTGACCTTTGAGATGTCAATTGTTCATCGAAATGTCGATTATCACAAATCGGTCAGAAATATATCTGTCTCTTACTAGTTCTATTGTTTTTCGAGTTGGCAATTGCTCTACAACATATGCCAGTCTCATACTAGTTCAATACTTATTCAAAATGTCATATGTTCTTCGAGAAGCCAATTGTCAGAAATCGGTTAGTACTATAGCAGTCGAATAAAAAAAAAAAAATAAATAATGGTCGGTACCACTAGATTCGATTTAAAAATCACATAAAATAGTCGCTTTATAATAGGCACCAGTCTAAAGTTTTTCGGTCTGGTTCATACCCATATTCTAGTTGTAGATTAGAATATTTCTAACTTGTGCAGTTTTAGACTAGTTACAGCTTCAAGTCTGAGTTTGGTATTTAGTTCCCCAATTCTATTCGATACTAATATTTTCTAATAATACTCTAACTAGTTCAAGTTTAGACTAGTTCTAGCTTGTGAAATATAAACTTAACTTCTTATCTATAAAATATTGGACCATTTTCAATAAATTTAGCTTAATTTTCCCTTCACTGGATTAAAAATAAAATTATATTCACTTAAGCTCAAAATTTAGTGGGCCCCTCATTGGGACTGCCCTGTTATTTATGGTTGCTTCACTAAGAAGTCGCTGATTTACATTTGTGTGAATGTGTGTGTGTGTGCGTAAAATCGGTGCATAAATTGCTGTTCAACCGAGTGTGTGTTCGCATGTGAGTATTTATTTAATAATTTTCCGAATGATTAATTTTGAATACATAATTTGCACCAACAAAAACAAACACGTAAACAAATCACAGACAATTGCCTAACAACCTCACATATATTTACATACACTAATAAGATAATTTGATATGTAAATGTTGCAAACTTAAATATGATAATCGCCTCTGTAATTTAGTGTTTATAATTTTTAAGTAACTAATATTTATTACTGCCTTAATACAGTAGTGCTTCTTGACCAGTATAATGTCAAAGCTGAGCTTAGTCTTACTTATGTACTTAATTACTTATAAATATGTAAATCATATAAAATTATATACATTTTCGCTGACATTTTGAATTGTGAAATCGACTCCACTCACAATATATGCTTACATATATGGTATATACCCAACAACATCTATTGTATATATCTACATATATATATTTCTCCTCATAAGGGATCTACCTAGTATTTAGTCGTCAAACTGTAGCTAAGCAGTATATGTGCCTGAATATAAACACCAACACCAAATTAGCGACAATTGACATCTACAATATGTTCAACTCCCATAATGCCGTATGCAAATTTTAATGCAAACACCTTGATATTTCGCAATACATATACACCCACAGTACATTAAACGGGCGTAGGATTGTTTGTATGCGTATTGGTGTGTAAGGCAATGACATTTGTCCACTTGGCAATGTCGACTATTTGATTGCTCTGTTGAAGGCGTTGACTCTAGTGTTTGCGCTGAGAATGAAGATGCACTTTGGTGTAATCTAAAATTATTTACATTTAGTAGGCACATCATGTACTCATTTATTTATACCTATGTATTTGTGTAGAAATACACATACATATATTTACAATTGTGTATGTATTTGTTAAATGTTAATAGAATTGATTATTTTATTAAGGAGCTAATACCTATGATTGCATACGATGTAATGAAAAGCAGAAAAACCATTAATGGTGGTAAGATGTGCAGTCTTACCGCATAAGTGCCGATCGGACAGTGTCTGCTTAAAACTCCTACAACTATTGAAAGGTAAACCATGCTAAGAGTGAAGAGTTCCCTAGAACTCTTACAATTTATCTAGGCAGAAGGATCTTGCGACTGCACAGCTGCTGGAAGTTGATCACGCTTACTGAACTGGTCGGGGCCAACAGTTCAGTAGTGAACAACAAGAAGCCAACATAGTTCTACTCATTCCCATTCCGCAGTTATTGAAACTGAAGTCCCGTTCTAGCAAGCTGATCAGCCTTACAGTAATCATAAAATAACTCGATCTAGAGATAAGATTCTAGACATACTTTCACTAGTCTGAGCGTAAAGTCAGCGAACTCAAGGCTAACATACATAGCTGTTCTACTATCGAGTGGATAGTCAACACTCTGTAGAAGCAGCAGATCTACATTTACCTTTATGGCAATTGGAGCTGATGGAAAGTTACCGACAGTTTACTCAACAAACTTCCCACAGGCTTTGATCCATCCGTAAACAAGATCAGCGCCTCCCTTCAGCAAGTCTCCCTCGAAAGTATGTGAGCAGAGAAGCGACAGCCAGCGCTAAGCTCGGTAACCTGTAATCTAATTTTTATTTTAAGGTATTCTAGAAACATCATTCATTTTATTTAGAAATATTAAGGCACACAAGCGGTACTCGCATTCCTCATAGCTGAGGTACAATATGGCGTTTTGAGTAAAGTCTTTTATCAAAGTAAAGAATACGCGGATTTGCGTTTGTATTTCAGAATACACTTCGATATCTTTAGCCAAAACCACCATGGATGGCTACATTAAGACATGACAAACTCGAAAATATCTTGTGATTGCCTAATATTTTCAGACTAAACTGTGAATTCAGGCAGAAATCGTATTCGATCAATTCTTCCACATTGCTCACATAAATCTTATTTGCTTATTTTCTATCTTTAACAAAAAAAGATTGTATATGCCGATAGGGCGTTAACTTTTTACCACCTTCTACCTTCTGCATTTAAGCCAAAGTGGTAGAACGCCTGTAAATATGCAATCTATAATTATTTCAACGTTTTTATTGCATGTTTGTGTTAAACGTTTATACCATTCCCGGCTTTCCCCCATTTTTAAATGTTATAGTTTGCCAATATTTTTTAAACCGAACGCTTAAAATTAATACAATATAATTAACAACATAGCACTAAGTGCCTATTTATGTTTGTTATTGTTATTGTTTATTTATGCTGCTGTTAAAGCACTGTTAGGGAATATCCGTATGCAAAATTACATGTCAATGTCTAGACATGAGGAACACAGCGTATAATTAACTGTGCATGACAGCGATGCCGACAATTAGTGTTTGACTTCTACAACAATTTCAGGCAAACCACATGCACATATACAAGTACACATTATACAAAAACATACACATAACTAAACATGTGTGTGTGTTTGTGTAGTTGCGCGCTTCAGCAACTTTAGTGTCCTGTTCGAATCGCGTTCACCAGTATTTATGTACTTTGAGCTGGAAAACGTTGTAGGGCTAAATTTAGTTGTAGTCCTACGCATTTTCCGCTTTGCGCTTATTGCAACGTCACGTCACGTAACGTAGGGAAATTTCGCTAACTGCAAATGTCAAATGCAAATGCAAGTTGCACAATGAAATGTGGCTAGTCGTGTGGAAGTG